TAATAAATGTTTACTCTAAAATATTATACCGGAATAATTTCACAAACTTCCATAGGAAGATAATTTTCTTTTCTGACTACAACACAAGGAAGGAAAGGATATTGAAGACGTCTTTTGTAGGTATCTTGAAAATATGTAGCCACATCTATAGATCTGCCGTTAGCATCAAATTTTGTTGAATTTGCAGGTGTGGGAGTAAGTTTAGAGATTCGGAAACGACGTTGTGAGACAGCATCACCACGATGAACAACACGAACTTTGAGATTTTTTAATGCTTTTTCAAGTCTGGTGCGTTCCTTATCTGAGATTCCTTTTCTAAGATCATCAGCGGACCTTCTACCCAAAATTTTGACAACGACTTGAACAAGATTACCACTTTCATAGAAAGCTGTGGCACTAACATCAATATTGATCATCATCTTCTTGGGTGTAGGACGAGCTGATTGATAAAAACCTTGCCATACTTCGACTCCACCATAAAGTTGTTGAGAACCTGAAGGTGTATAAAATGATCTACCAACAGTTGCATGTTGCAACGATGGGCGATACCTTATCAACACATCAAGTGCCATAATACCTATAGAGAATAGAAAGAACAAAGAGAGCGTGTGTTATTATATATAATTGATGATTTGTTGTAGAAAATAAATAAAATATTAATATTAAAAATAACAAATATATATCATATTATATAATGATAATAATATGATATAATCAATCATCGTAATCAATGATTTAATAAATTAAATTTACCGGTCAGAACGTTTGGTGATACTTGAGCCTTGCCGTTAAGAAAACGATGAAGTTCTTCCATATTAATTTCAGCAACTTTTTTAATTTTAACTTTGAAAGAACGAGGAGGACGTTTACTAGTAGTGACACCGTCGTCTTCAGGTAAGGTTACATCGAAAGTGGCAGCGTCACCGAAAGGAAGTGGCCTAGCAGTGTACATGTTTTTCCGACCGTCAAAAACAGGTTTTACCCCACCTAAACTAGCGCCACGCTGCATCTCTTCAAAAGTTTGAAAAACTCTTCGGTTCAAGGCAGGAGGAACATCGGGTGTTATAGTGACGTCATAGTGGTGTATATTTGCTTCAGGGAGTGCAAGGACTTCAAAAAAGTTTGCACGAATTTTGAGTTGTCTTCCTTCTTTACCTAAGTTAGGTCTTCTTACAAAGTCAGTTAGTTGAAAACCTGTAGATTCCATTTTTGGTTATGAATATATGATATTTTCTTCTTTTTTTATTTTTTTTTCCTTGAAAAATTTAATGAAAATTGTTAGTAAGTGAAAGAAAAAGATTAAACAAAAAAAATCTTTTTTTTTTTTTTGAGTGTGTGGATATATTTGGCAATAATCGAATCGTACACAATTTACACTGCAAGTTTCTTTGTTATCATAATACAGTTATTCCGAATGTTCATCAAAAATTTCGTAATTATTTGGTAACTAATTGGTTCTATTAACACTTGTAGAGTAAATCATTCAGTAATTTTTCTTTATTTTTTAAACTCTAATTTTAATTCAGATTATTATTATTTTATTATTATATCATAATAATTTATAGTATATATATATATAGTATAGATTATTTATTTATACATATTAATTATTAACTGGATTTTTTTTTAAAAAGGAAATTGAATAAATGTTACACTTAAAATTCGTGTAACTTGCAAAAATAGAAAAATGAATATACGTTTTTTAAGTTGCGTCGATCATATGATAAAGATGTTATTATTTATTTATATAAATTTGGACGCGATTTGTTTTATATTTCTAAAAAATGAAATATCAATATGGTTATTTATATATTATCAATGAATTTTTGTTATAAACCCAAAAAAAATTTTATTTTAAATTCTCAACTTCCTTCCTTTCTTTTTCCTCTCATTACATTCATTACATTTTTTAA